TCATGGACTCCACTAGACCTCTGAAGGTGTGCTGTGGTATCTGGCACCAAGCCGTCAGCAGCAGATCCTTTAACCCTTTCGCTGCCAACGGGCCCCTCTAAACAGACTCCCGGACTCTGTTCAGCTGTGTAAAGCGATTCTGGCAGGCTGGTCACCTCCAAGGCCCCCCCCTGCTTTCCCAGGCTCCGCTGGCCCCCCTTGCGAGCCCAGGACCATCATCACGGGAGAGAGTCTGGCTACAGAAGCCAGGGAAGAAGCTATTGAAGCCTGATCTGTAGTAGGGATGCACCGATACCGCTTTTTCGGTATCTAGTACCGATATTTTTTTTTTCCGGGACTCGCCGTCGCCAAAAGTCCCATTAAGGAAGCCGGGCGGTGTGTAATGACTCGCCACTCAGCTTCCCGATTAGACGGGAAACCGTCTCTAGTATCGGAGCATTCCTATTAAAAAGTTTCTTTGCAGTGGAAAGGTGACACTAGAACAGTGGTGTGACAAGGGGGGTGTAGGGGGTGCGGCCCGCACCCGGGTGACACCATTGGAGGGGTGACACCAAAATGACTGACAGTCATTTTGGTATCACCCCCTCTAAAGAAGTCGGGCACTCAGTCATGCACCGAGAGTGTCAGGAGAGAGGAGGGGACCTGGCGGCATACCTCATCCCGTCGGGTGAACGTCCCCTCCTCTCTGCCGGTGCCCATCACCAAGATGGCCGCCGGCAGGCATCAATTGGATAGCCGCGCATGCGCAATAACATCATGGCGGGGTGTCACCCGTTACCCGCTCCTGGTTGGCACCCGGCCTCGGGACGCCCCTGCACTAGAATTACTTGTACGAGCTTTTCAAGTATCGTCCTTAGACAATTTGGGGTACCGTATTTTATTGCCTTTTCACGGTCGCACGCAATTTCTAACCTCGGCATGTGGGGTATCTATTTATTTCTATCTTTTCCCGGCTGCGGCAGTCAGAGAAATGACAGGCTGAAGGTGGAATGGATGTAATACACATCAGTTCCTTATTCAGAGGGGAGATGAGACGCTGGTATGGGGCGCCGTCCTGGTCCCGGGCCCACGTGAAGGACAGCAGAGCCCGGGATAGTCAGCAGTGGAGGGAGGGTGTCGCACACTTCCCGCACCCCTCCCTCACACTTCCCGCTCTATAGCCACCCTTCCCACTTGCATATTTCAAAGGCTTCAGTTTGTCAACCTTTCCCGCTCCCAATTGCAAGTGGGAGAGGGAAGGGGCGTTTTTTAAACACCCACCCGCACTTATGGGCGGCAGCTGTCCAGCCATTTATATAAAGTCGGTCAGACGTCAAGCAGTTAGGGAAAACAGTGTTATCACCTTCAGGCACTGGCGGAACTACCAGGGTCGCAAATGAGACCGGGCCCTGGCGTTCCGCCTGTTGGGGGGGCCAGAGAGGAAGCAGAGGGCCTGAAAGCTTCCTCATGCTGTCCCCCCCTCCAGATAGCGCCACTCCATCCCCCGCCGCTCTGAATGTACGGCGGCTGTGCGGGGATAGAGAGGCTCTGTCTGTCCCTTGTCAGCCTGGCGGAGCTGCTACCGACACAGCAGGCACCGCCAGGCAGCACATCCTTCAGCTGGGAGAGGACCCTCTCCACTCAGCCCCGCCCCCTGACCGCCAAAGATGAGGAAGCTGAGCAGCTGTAGGAGTCAGGTAAGTCCGGTGTGTGGGGGAAGGGGGGGTAGGAAGTTGTTGTTATTATTTACATTATAATGTATTGCTGGGGCTTGTAGTCCAGCATAGCTAGTGGTATTCTGCATTGCTGTATAATGATTATACAGCAATGCAGAATAGCACCAATTATGCGGGACCACAAGTCCCAGCAATACATTATATTATTAAGTAGGGATGCAATAGTGCCAAGGGGAACTCCATTTGCATGCACTATTTTTGCTGACCGCAACGGAACGCAGGCGTTGATTTGCCATGTGTTCCGGTGCAGGCAATCGAACTGCGGTGCCATTGACTTTAATGCACCGCCACGCCCCCTCCCACCCTAGAACGCAGTGAGCCGGCCGGGATGCGATCCAGTGTGTTCCAGCACCAAATCGGGCCGGAACACACTGGAGCTGGTGTGAACTAGCCCTGAAAGTCATAACATACATACTGTTTATTTCATAGAATTTTGGATTTCGCTAATGAAAACATGAACGGGCAACCACAGACCAGAACTGCGTTACCCATAGCAACCAATTAGGATCCTTACCAACTATAAAGTTCTGTAATGTCAGTGGATGCTGACCGGTTGCTATGGGCAACATGATCTGCACATCTTCCTAAAGTCATAACCCCAATGTGCTATGTTATTCCATGAGGTGCTGAGCAGATTGTTGGCACTATAGGAATCCTGTGTAGTAATAATATTTAGATTCTATCTCAGGTATTGTAACCTTATTGTTTCGCTCAGCCAATCAGCAGTGACCCTTCAGCCAATAGAAGCACGGCCTGGCCGATAACCTACCAATAGGAACACAAGAGTGGGCGGGAACGTCCGGCTGTGATGGGCAGGCGACGCCAACCAATAGCCGCGCGCCTCAGCCGTAGGCGGGAGCCACCGTGTTGTTCGAGCGTCAGCGGAAGGAACCAATAGCGGCCGAGCCCGAGGTGTGCGGGCAGCGAATAGGGGGGCAAGAGAAAGCGGCTGCTCGGCGGTGTCAGGTCGCCTAACCGTCAGTCGCTCGGCACGGGGCGAGGGGGAACGAAGAAATCCTTGGCTCGCTCCAGTATCGCCCCGGGTACCCGCCCCCCTCATTTCGGCGCCATGACGTCAGCATCCACCAAGGTGAGCGGGAGGCCAAGGAGGTCCCTGATTGAAGGGGAGGAGTCACGTGGCACGATCGCGCAGCATTTTGGGATTTGTAGTTAGGAAGAGATGGCTAATTCGTTGCTAGTGTATGTGTGAGGGCAGCTGCTGAACTACAGATCCCAGCGTGACTAGCGACGATACAAAGTCAGCTTACTGCTACAATGGTCGGGGCCATCTACGCTGCATAAATGTGTTACTGTTTCCATTATTCTATAATAATAATGACAGTTACTATTGTTACCATTATCTGTGTGCTCATAATAGAAATAGTAACATTGTTCTAACAGATGTTAATGTCGCTGCCCTAATTGCTAATATTGTTACAATTCTTTTTAAAGGAAAAGTCCACCTTTTGCAAAAAAAATATAATAAATGCACCTGCGCTAACCAAATACAAAATGTGCATTCATGAAATGTTTGCATTGAAGCCTGCAGAGCAACTGTGACCTGTGAGTCCTGGGTGCAATACACAGGCCCCCTGCATAGGGTTGCCACCTTTTGTTCAAGTGATACCCGAACACTCTAGCGACTAGGGTTGCCACCTGTCCAGGATTCACCTGGACAGTCCAGGTTTTGAATGCTGTGTTCGGGTTTCATGGCACCAGAAACCCGGACACAAGATGTCAGGCAGACAGGGGCAACCAAGATTAAGATAGGGGCTACTGGCCCCCCACTGAAAATAGTCTCAACTGTGTTATGTACATAAGAATGGGCGGTGCTTTTTACATATGAATAAGCCACGACTCATTCTCCCAAAAAAATTTCAGCGCGTCGCTAGAGTGTTCGGGTTTCACTTGAAGAAAAGGTGGCAACCCTACTAGCGACGCATGGACATTTTTGTTCTTGGAAGAATGAGTCATGGCTTATTCATATGTAAATAGTGCCACCCTTTCATATGTGAATATCAAAGCTGAGACCATTTTCAGTGGGGGGCCAGTAGCCCCTACATGAATTTTGGTTGGCCCTGCCTGCCTGACATCTTGTGTCTGGGTTTCTGCTGCCATGAAACCCGGACACAGTATTCAAAACCCGGACTGTCCGGGTGAATCCTGGACACGTGGCAACCCTACCCCTGCATTGGTTACATCCCAGCCCCCTGTTATTGTGGGTAGGGAGGTTTCTATGCTCCTCGGCTCCATCTAGTGGCCATACAGCTCTGCAACCCTCGTTCGCACAGTTAATAACTATGCGAACGGGTTACAAATCAGCCCCACGGTACTATGGGCTGTGGATATGATCAATTTTGGCAGGGGTTCCCGGAAGATTATTTCAAGGATCCCTCAGGGGTAAAAAGGATAAGAAAGGCTGATCTAGATGAGTTCATACAGATCCAATGAGTTCCGATGTGTTAATCAGGGCCGGATTTCCCACAAGGCCACCGAGACCCGGCCATGGGGCGTCAGGGAGTAGAGGGGCGGCGGGGGTGTGGAATTCCTATCATCCGATGCCCAGGACATGCAGTTACGGGTGGATTAGTATTTTTCTACATTTAGCCCTGCTTCGGGCAAGCACAGCTAAATGTAGAACAGGGGGGGAAGTGATTTCAGCGATACTTGTAATTAGCCTGCTTGTCCGTCCGTCTCCCCGCCACCCCTCCTTCATGGTCCGCCCCCTCCTCCGACTGCCTCTGGCCGCCTTCCTCCCCGCTGTGGTTTTAGGGGTCCCCTGCTCTTCTGGGGGACCCTGGACCACAGCTAATTAGTTCAGGATGCAGAGCGGAGAAGGTCTGTTCCAGGGGTAGACAACCTTGGCACACCACCTGTGGGCAAACTGCAAATGCCATCATGCTTCTACCTCTGGGAGCTATGGCTGTCAGAGTCTATGCCTCATGGGACTTGCAGTTCCACAGCAGCTGGAGGGCCAAAGTTGCCTACCCCTGGTCTGTTCTTCGCTCTGCGCCGTGTGAACACTATGACATGAGAGCTGCACTCGCAGCCTTCCCCTCTCAGCTGCCACAGGAGTTCCAGCACAGTGCCATAAAGAGAACCTGTCACCTCCAAATGCTATCACACAGGGGGCTTGTTAGCTCCTGTGTGATAGCAATAAAGTTAAGTACAGAAATAAAAATTGATAAAAAGCAGAAAATAATAAAGTAAATACAAAAGTAAAAGATAATTAAAATAAAAAGTGATAAAAAAAATTAAGAAGTGATAAAAAAAGTAAAAAAATAATAAAGAAGAAAAAAAATTAAAACCAACCCCGCCGTCCGGTTGCCATACTCCATTGGGGGGTATTGGCAGGAGGGGGAGGGGGGCGCATTGAGGAACCTGGCCTTGGGGCAGCAGAGAGAGTAAATCCGGCCCTGGCGTTAATACAGATATAGATAGACGGTATATCACAATTATATATATTTATTTTACAGTATGACAGAACTATATTGTGTTACCATACTTGTGAACGCCGTGATCCTCACTGTACGATGTGTTATCTCCGTGTCCGCACAGGTCGGGGAGATCTTCTCTGCAGCCGGAGCTGCCTTCACCAAACTAGGAGAACTGACCATGCAGCTCCACCCCGTGACGGATTCCTCGCCGGCGGGGTAAATGTCCCATAGACCTGCTACTAACCCGTCCCTGCTAAAGACTTTGTTCCTTTCACCTCTCTGATTACTCGGAGCCGCTCTGCAAAGTTCCGGGGGGAGAAACATTAAACGTTTCCAGTTTTGTTACATATTATCACTGTGATATCCAGTTTGTAATTTAGCGCAAAGTGTTTGTAAAGCTAACTTTTATTTTTTCCTTTAGATTTGGATACAGTTAGGAGCCCTGTTAGGTTTCTTTTATACTGTCCGTGACCCATCGGGGAGATTTGCCCGTCACTTCCTGTCTCGGAGACCTAGCAGGAAGTGAGAGGAGATGTCTATAATGAGAGGGGGGATCTTCTACCACTTCCTGTCCTGGTCACCGGAACAAATAAAGAGGGCAACTCTCCATAGCGGGGACTCAGCACTCTGCAGGTTGTCGCTACTTTATTATTTATTATTAGGTTTTGGCTTTACATACATTTTGTTGATTTGTGCCAGGAGAGGGCAACCTCAGGACTCCAGCTGCAATGAAACTACAAATCCCATGAGGCAAGTCTCTGACAGCCACAGACATGACTCCCAGGGTTTCTGGGGGTGCCTGCCCCTGTTTCATGCTGTAGATTCCTGTAATGTGTTCTCCGCTGTGAGTCCCTGTTCTCTGTCCTGTTGTGTCTTCTTCCACTTATGTTAATGCCCCTCCCCCCATTGCCACGGCTCTGCTTTCACTCCTCATTCCTACTTGTGTCTCCTCAGGGCCCGCTGGACAGACAATGAGATTCAGATGTTGCATGCGGCTGTCAGACGTTTCGGGGAAGACTTAAATCAGATCAGCTCAGTAATCAAGGAGAGGACAGTGTAAGGAGAATGGGGGGTGTGGTAGAGGGGTACATTGCATGGCTGAAAGATTGAGGACACCTGACCATCACCCTTGACCTGTGGACACCTGACCTGTGAACACCTGACCATCATCCCTGACCTTTGGACCCCTGAACTGTGGACACTTGACCATCACCCTTGACCTGTGGACACCTGACCATCACACTTGTCCTGTGGACACCTGACCATCACACTTGACCTGTGGACACCTGACCATCAAACTTGACCTGTGGACACCTGACCATCACACTTGACCTTTGGACACCTGACCATCACACTTGACTTGTGGACACCTGACCATCACACTTGACCTGTGGACACCTGACCATCACACCTGACCATCACACCTGACCTGTGGACACCTGACCATCACACCTGGCCTGTGGTCACCTGACCATCACCCTTGACCTGTGGACACCTGACCATCACCCTTGACCTGTGGACACCTGACCATCACACTTGTCCTGTGGACACCTGACCATCACACTTGACCTGTGGACACCTGACCATCACCCTTGACCTGTGGACACCTGACCATCACACTTGACCTGTGGATGTCTGACCATCACACTTGACCTGTGGACACTTGACCATCACACCTGGCCTGTGGACACCTAACCATCACACCTTGCCTGTGGACACCTGACCATCACACCTGACTTGTGGACACCTGACCATCACACCTGGCCTGTGGATACCTGACCATCACATGGGTTGGACATCCCATTCCAAAACCATGTCCATTACTATGGAGTTCCACCCACCCTTCCCCATACCTTAGTGGCTGTACGAGCCGCCACTCTTTTGGGAAGGGGTGTACCTGTAGGAATAGTTCCCAGTTAGCCAAAAAGAGCCTATGTGAGTTCAGGTACTGATGTTAGATGGGGAGACCTGACATCCCGAGGTGTTTAAAGCTGACCTCCATCTTTCCCTTTAGTCTTGCACGGTTGTACCGGCTCCTCTCCTGGACTGAAATTGTTTTCTCTGATCTCACTGCACACTGGGAGCTTCTCACAATGTGCATTAGAAGCTGCAGCAAGTCAGAGCCACCCTCATTGCCTGGCTGGAGGAGGTCCAGCATCATCTAGCCCAGGGATATGCCGCTGCCTCTGGGAGTCATGCCTATGGCTGTCAGAGTCTTGCAATGCCTTATGGGACTTGTAGTTCCACAACAGTTGGAGTGCCGAGGTTGCCTACTCCTGGTCTAGCACTTTCCTCTACAGCCTGACTGTCCCTGGCCCGCCCCTTTCATTCACCCCTCCCCCCATTGCCACGGCTCTGCTTTCACTCCTCATTCCTACTTGTGTCTCCTCAGGGCCCGCTGGACAGACAATGAGATTCAGATGTTGCATGCGGCTGTCAGACGTTTCGGGGAAGACTTAAATCAGATCAGCTCAGTAATCAAGGAGAGGACAGTGTAAGGAGAATGGGGGGTGTGGTAGAGGGGTACATTGCATGGCTGAAAGATTGAGGACACCTGACCATCACCCTTGACCTGTGGACACCTGACCTGTGCACACCTGACCATCATCCCTGACCTTTGGACCCCTGAACTGTGGACACTTGACCATCACCCTTGACCTGTGGACACCTGACCATCACACTTGACCTGTGGACACCTGACCATCAAACTTGACCTGTGGACACCTGACCATCACACTTGACCTTTGGACACCTGACCATCACACTTGACTTGTGGACACCTGACCATCACACTTGACCTGTGGACACCTGACCATCACACTTGACCTGTGGACACCTGACCATCACACTTGACCATCACACCTGACCTGTGGACACCTGACCATCACACCTGGCCTGTGGTCACCTGACCATCACCCTTGACCTGTGGACACCTGACCATCACACTTGTCCTGTGGACACCTGACCATCACACTTGACCTGTGGACACCTGACCATCACCCTTGACCTGTGGACACCTGACCATCACACTTGACCTGTGGATGTCTGACCATCACACTTGACCTGTGGACACTTGACCATCACACCTGGCCTGTGGACACCTAACCATCACACCTTGCCTGTGGACACCTGACCATCACACCTGACTTGTGGACACCTGACCATCACACCTGGCCTGTGGATACCTGACCATCACATGGGTTGGACATCCCATTCCAAAACCATGTCCATTACTATGGAGTTCCACCCACCCTTCCCCATACCTTAGTGGCTGTACGAGCCGCCACTCTTTTGGGAAGGGGTGTACCTGTAGGAATAGTTCCCAGTTAGCCAAAAAGAGCCTATGTGAGTTCAGGTACTGATGTTAGATGGGGAGACCTGACATCCCGAGGTGTTTAAAGCTGACCTCCATCTTTCCCTTTAGTCTTGCACGGTTGTACCGGCTCCTCTCCTGGACTGAAATTGTTTTCTCTGATCTCACTGCACACTGGGAGCTTCTCACAATGTGCATTAGAAGCTGCAGCAAGTCAGAGCCACCCTCATTGCCTGGCTGGAGGAGGTCCAGCATCATCTAGCCCAGGGATATGCCGCTGCCTCTGGGAGTCATGCCTATGGCTGTCAGAGTCTTGCAATGCCTTATGGGACTTGTAGTTCCACAACAGTTGGAGTGCCGAGGTTGCCTACTCCTGGTCTAGCACTTTCCTCTACAGCCTGACTGTCCCTGGCCCGCCCCTTTCATTCATTGGATTTCTGGCTTGTCAGTCATGGAGGTTCACCATCAAATGTGGGCGTTACACTAACATTCTGAATTTAAAGGAATCATGCATAGGAACGCCCACTCCTTCAGACTGACATCAGCATCCGCCTAGAGTTCTAGTAGCCAATAGGAAACCTTCGCACTGTACGCATGTAAATGTGCACAAATGCAGAAGTTGCGCTTCCTACACAGGATCTTGTTGTTAATTTCTGTCAGGAAGATCCTGCGCTCTGGTAGCGTATTTTCACGCGGCGGGGTGCATGAGGCCTTACACTTCTCTTTCCTATGGGGACACAAAGGAAGAAAGTAGAGACGCACCAATACCGGTTTTTCGGTATCGAGTACCGATTTTTTGCTTTTGGTACTCACTGACACTGAGTACCGATACTGGTGATTGGCGGGGAAACCAGATTCCCAGCTAATCAGCTTCAAGCCAGCTTCCTGGCCAATCAGAAAGCCGGGCAGCGAGTAATGACCTGCCTCCCGACTTCCTAATTGGCCAGAAAGCGGGCTCCACGCTCATTGGCTGGAAGGCTGGCTACCCAGCCAATCAATGCTGATTGGAAGGCTGGCTACCCAGCCAATCAATGCTGATTGGCCAGAAAGCCGGCTTCCCTGACAATCAGCATAGAGCTGGCTTCCTGGCCAATCAGGAAGCCTGAGGGCGAGTCATCACCTGGTGTCAAGGAAGCATGGAGATGGCTACCTGGCTAATTGGGAAGCAGAGTGGCCAGTCATTACGCGCCACCTGGCTTCCTTATAGGGACTTTTGGTGTTGGCGAGTACCAAAAAAAATAAATACCCGGTATCGGGTCATTACTCGCCACCCATCTTCCTAATTGTCCGGGATGCCGGCTCCATGTTCCCCTCGGCACTGCTGGTCAGAGGAAATTTTCCTCTGACCAGAGATTCAGGTATCAGAGGGTTTGGACGAGCACTCACCCAAATGCTCGGTATCGGCACCCCCCTCCCCCATTTCTGGTGTCACAGGGACAGGAAATGAAGCAAGACCTAACCTTCTAACCCCTCTGTCTTTGTCGTTTGCTCTAGAGCTCTATGTGCCACTCATGCTGTTACGTTTCCTCACCCAACCCCCCATCTAAAACTCATTAAAGTGCGCCTCCATCTTGTTCTTCAGCCGCCATTTTGCATTTGTCTCCTGGCAGGGCACAGATTAAGTACACTGTGAAAAAGAAGATCTACGATGACAGCGGGGTCCCCATGCCTTCAGATTCTCCCCGGAAAGTGGCAAAGAAGGCCGCGCCAGTTTCCTCTTCGGTTGGCATGGTGACGGCGCCGCAGGTCGGCGGTACGACGGCAATACCCGAGGGGTCACAGGGTGCTATGAGGAAACGCAAATCCTCTGGTGAGAAGGGGG